TATACTCTTGAATTGTGGAAGAAGAACTCAATATTCCACTACCATGAGAAAGGATTACATTCCCCTTTAAATAGATGATAATTCTCATCTAATTACTAGGGATATTTACAACTTACCTAGAATAGCATCAATCCTAATTAAAGCATACCGCAGTAAAAAAGGAAAATATCTAAAGATCTGGTAACAGGCTACCAGAATCCCCTAAAGTCGTGGAACTAAAAATGGCTATGTTTAATTGTAAAATTCCTCAATCTCAGCCCCTAATAAATGCAGACAGATCATCAAAATAATATCAAATCTGCCAATAATTCTACACTCCCCCTCAAGCAGGGCAGTAGATATTTATTAGGCCCAGCTTGGAACTCAGATCATCAAAATTCTTTCTTGGCAGAGCCTTGGTAAGGATATCGGCTGTTTGGAGACATGTAGGCACGTACATCATCTTGATTATCCTTTCCTTTATTTTTTCTTTTATGAAATGTCGGTCAATCTCCACGTGTTTTGTTCTATCATGATGTACTGGGTTCTTGGCAATGCTGATTGCTGCCTGATTGTCACAAAACATCTTCATAGGTTCCTCTCCTGAAATTTTTAATTCCTTTAGAAGTCTTCTTAGCCAGATTCCTTCACAGATGCCATGTGCCATTGCCCTGAATTCAGCTTCTGCACTGCTTCTTGACACAACTGATTGCTTCTTACTTCGCCATGTAACCAGGTTTCCCCATACATAAGTACAGTATCCTGAAGTTGACCGTCGATCATGTATTGATCCTGCCCAATCTGCATCACTGAACACTTCAATATCTCTTCTTTGGTTCTTCTCAAAAAATAATCCTTTACCTGGTGTTAGTTTCAAGTATCTTAGGATTCTATAGACTGCCTCCATGTGTTCTTCATTTGGATTATTCATGAATTGACTTACCGTGCTGACAGAAAAACCAATATCAGGCCTGGTGTGAGATAGGTATATAAGTTTACCAACTAGTCTTTGCACAATCTTCTTTAGCTCCTAGTTTGGTTGTTGAATCCATAGGAGTATCTGCAGGCTTACATCCGAGCATTCCAGTCTCTTTTAGGAGATCCAGAACATATTTCCTTTGGGAGACAGAAATTCCCTTTCTTGACCTTGCTATTTCCATGCCTAGGAAGTATTTGAGTTTCCCAAGGTCCTTGATTTCAAATTCTTTAGCTAGGAGACTTTTGATATTACCGATTTCCTCCTCATAATCTCTTGTTAGAATGATATCATCCACATATACAATGAGGACAGCAAGATTTCCTGCAGGAGAGTGTTTAACAAATAGAGTATGATCTGTTTGACATTGAGAATAGCCATGCCTCTTGATTACCTTTGTGAATCTCTCAAACCAGGCTCTTGGGGATTGCTTGAGCCCATATAGGGATCTTCTAAGTTTACAGACCTTGTTGTGTGTAGTTTGTGTCTCAAATCCTGGAGGAATTTCCATGTAGACTTCTTCAGCTAGGTCTCCATTTAGGAAGGCATTCTTGACATCTAGTTGGTGAAGAGGCCAATCAAGATTTGCAGCCAAAGATAGTAAGACCCGTATTGTGTTTAACTTGGCTACAGGAGCAAATGTCTCCTCATAGTCGATTCCATATGATTGAGTGAATCCCTTTGCAACCAGCCGTGCCTTGAATCGATTAACACTCCCATCTTCATTATATTTGACAGTAAATATCCATTTGCAACCTACTGGACGTTTTCTGGTTGGTAATTCTGTGATCTCCCACGTTCCATTCTTTTCTAGTGCATTTATTTCTTCACGCTCTGCAGACTTCCATTCAGGTGAACTGAGAGCTTCTTGTATGTTATTGGGAACCTGTATGTTGTCGAGATTGGCAACAAAGGATTTGAAATTTGATGACAGTCCTTCATATGATACGAATATGTTTATCGGGTGTTTTGTGCATGATCTTACACCTTTTCTCACAGCAATAGGCAAATCACTATCATCAGTAGGTAACTCATTATGGGAAGTCTGGGGATTAGATTTACCTGAAGGATCTTCACTTGATCTAGGACTTGGATCAGACTCTTGGGTTTGCTCAAGAGATGCTTGTTGTTCCATCTCCTTTTGGTTCCTTCTCCTCCGTGAGTAGGTAATCAACTCATCATTATTTGTTGATTGAATAGTGTCCAGATTGGTTTGATTTTGAAGAGGAGACTCTAAGAAGAGATGATGAAAAGAAATGGATTCAGTAGGAGGATTTTGTGGTGGGTGAAATTGGTCAGAATTAGAAGAAAGGTGAGATGATTCTTCAATATCCCAAAGCTGGTATTCCTGAATAAAATTAGTCTCCCCCTGAATATCAGATTTGGGGTAATAAGGTTGTTGCTCAAAGAAGGTGACATCCATGGAGTGATAATACCTTTTAGTGACAGGTGAATAACATTTATATCCCTTTTGATTCGGAGAGTACCTAAGAAAAATACACTTAAGGGCTCTAGGATCAAGTTTATCCCTGTGTTGTTGATGAACATGAACAAACGCTGAGCATCCGAATACTTTAAAGGGAATAGTTGAGATGAGACGAGAATTGGGAAATGACTGAAGTAGGGTTTGACAGGGAGTTTGGAAGTTGAGAACACGAAAGGGCATCCTGTTTATGAGATACGCTGCAGTGAGAATGGCTTCACCCCAAAAAAATTTTGGTACATGTGTAGAGAACATGAGAGAGCGGGCAACATCTAGAAGATGCCGATTTTTCCTTTCAGCAATTCCATTTTGCTGAGGAGTGTTGACACATGAACTTTGGTGTACTATACCGTGACTCAAGAGATAATCATCAAGAATGGATTGGAAATATTCTTTGGCATTATCAGTTTTCAGAATCTGAATTTTTGCTTGGAATTGAGTTTGGATCATGGTGTTGAAATTTTTGAAAATCTGACATGTCTCTGATTTTTCTTTCATCAAGAATACCCAGGTAAGTCTAGTGTGATCATCTATAAAAGAGATAAACCAGTGAGATCCTGTAACATTCTTGATTCTAGATGGGCCCCATATATCACTGTGAATCATTGAAAAGGGATGAGATGCTTTGTAGGAGTGGTTGGGATAAGAGTTGCGAACATGTTTTGAAAATTGACAAATCTCACACTAAAAATCATTTGGATTTTTATTATGGAATAGTGAAGGAAACAACTTCTCCATATACGAGAAATTTGGATGTCCTAACCTATAGTGCCACAACATAATTGCACTATCATTATTAGAACGAATAACAGAAAATGAACCTGGACTTCTGGACACTGAACAATTTGATTTGTGAGTTGTTCCTTTAGGAGGATCATTAACCTCGAGAAGATAGAGCCCCGAACACATCTTAGCATTGCCAATCGTCTTCCCCGAGTCCAAGGCCTGAAATTCACACAGATTTGATGAAAATTTAGTAACACAATTGAGATCCCGAGTGAGTTTACTTATGGACAGTAAATTGCAATCCAAATTTGGCACAAGGAGAACTGAGTTAAGTGTGATGTTCTCTGAAACTTTAACAGAACCTGTACCAGCCACCTTTGAGAAAGAACCATCGGCTATCCTGACAGTTAAATTCTTAGAACAAGGACTGTAAGTAGAAAAAATTTTCTCATCTCCAGTCATATGGTCCGATGCTCCGGAGTCTATAATCCATGGACCTGTGACACCTATCTTCTCTTTTTTAACATTGAGAGCACTTAAGAAATTGCCTTTCTGTGCCAAAGAACCGGTACCAACCACAGTGGGAGCAGAGGCTGTAACTTCATTGAGATAATCTTCCTTTCCCTTTCCGTATATAAACATCATTACAGAATGGGACCATTGGAGATAGTCATTCCCATTTAGTTTGTCCTGTAATGTGCATGAGACTACTATCTGAACTGCTGCTGTTGCTGGAAGTCATGGCTTCCTGATTGGTGGTGAAAGAGAAAGAGGAAGAACCAGTACAGAGGGATCCCGCAATGCCCGTGTGGTAAATGGGCTGCTGAGATCTGAGACCCTAGAAAAAGGTGTCCGAGTTTGGCTTGGAACTTTTAACACTGCTGAGGAAGCTATAAGAGCTTATGAACGTGCTGGACAATGGCAACTATGATTCATTCAGTTTCCCTGAAGAGAAACCGCCAACAAATCAGGAGTTGGAGACCAAAAAAAATTACATAGACTGATCAATGATTTGAGATTTGCTGTGAACTCTCTGATACCATCTTGAATTGTGGAAGAAGAACTCAATATTCCACTACCATGAGAAAGGATTACATTCCCCTTTAAATAGATGATAATTCTCATCTAATTACTAGGGATATTTACAACTTACCTAGAATAGCATCAATCCTAATTAAAGCATACCGCAGTAAAAAAGGAAAATATCTAAAGATCTGGTAACAGGCTACCAGAATCCCCTAAAGTCGTGGAACTAAAAATGGCTATGTTTAATTGTAAAATTCCTCAATCTCAGCCCCTAATAAATGCAGACAGATCATCAAAATAATATCAAATCTGCCAATAATTCTACATATACTGTGTATTTTCAGGGTTACATTATTTACTAACACAGCTATAGATAAGGAAAAAGAACAGGAAGTTACTCATCCACAGACAATTCTTTAGTTCCTTAGTGAAGACGTCAAATCGCTTAGTTATTCCATTCCTATTATACTTTTCAATAGTCGCCATGCTGATTTATATGAAGCATATCTCTTCCATGATTTTACATCTGTGACAAAAATATTTCATCCTCTTGAAATATGTACGCTATATTTAGTCCCGATACACGTGTATATATGTACACTACAGAACC